ATTCCCTAGGTATCTGATAAATGCTGGCTGGCATTCATTATACACATAACATTAGGTAATGCTGAATTATTGTTCAAAGTGATTGTACAGGTTTTTATTTTCACTAGCAGTGGCAGCAGAGATTCCTATGAATCGGTTTTTGCCAATTCAATTTTTACTAAAAGGATAGGTATGTAACAATATCTCTCATTGTGGGTTTAACTTGCATTGCCTAACTAGCATGTGATTAAACACCTTTTTATAATGTTATTGATCATTTGTGGTTCTTATTTTATTGAAAACCTACTCAAATGCTTGCTCAGTTTTCTGTTGGGTCATTTCTTATTAATTTATAGCATTATGTATTCTGGATTCTAATCTTTTGCTGATTATTTGCACTGCAGGTACCTTTCCATTTTTGTGATTTGTGCATATTCACTAATTATGATGACTATGATGAAGAGAAGTTTAATGGAGTCAAATTTATGTATTTTTTCTGTCATTGTTAATACTTCTGTCTCAATTTAAAAAAATCCTTAACCTGGGTCCAAAAATAATCTCTTGTGTTATGTGTCTGGAAGCTTTGTTCTTTCCTATTTAAGTGTTTAAGTGTTTAAACAAATGTGAGGTTGCATGTGTCTAATAACACTTTAAAATATACAAGTAAAAAATTAACATACAAGAATAAATTGATAGATTCATAAGTATAAGATTTTCACATAACTTTCCCAGTAATTGATAGAGAATCAGATAATATGACTAATTTGACTCAATGACCATGTATAGAACATGGTATTCCAGAACACCTAAAAGTTTCAGAGTATTTTTTTTAAACACATACAGGATACTGACCAGATACTTCTATTATAAAGAAAATGTTAAACCTCAAAAGATTTGATCAACTAGGCCTTTACATTTTTAAAAAATCATTTTAAAATTTGTTTTTATTTTATGTGAATGAGTGTTTTGCCTTTTTGTCTGCATGTATGAAAGTGCACCTGTGCTGGGTAATGCCCACAAAGATGAGGATGTCAGATCCCCTGGAACTGAAGTTACAGTTGTTAGCCAACATGTGGGTTCTGTGAACTGAACCCAGATTCTCTGCAAGAATAGCAAGTGCTCTTAACCTCTGAGGCCCATTAAAAAAAATTAATGCAGTTAAGCCAGAAGCAAATGCATTTAGAACAAGAAAATCATATGCATTGGGAAATTAAAAAATATATTAGTGGTATGGCTGTGCATGCCTTACATACGAGAGGCTGAGGCATGAAGATCACAAATTCAAGGTTAGCCTGGAATTCATAGCAAGACTCTCTCAAAAACAAAAAATTCAAATAACCCATGCAACAAAATGTTATATTGCAAATCTGAGAATGTTTTGAACTGAGCAGTAATATGAAATGGTGTCTGAAAAAACTGTTGACACTCCATTTAAGAGAAAATTTATAGCCTGTCCCTATAGGCACATATTAGAAAAGTGAAGGATGAAAATGAATCTTTCTTTTTCTTTTCCTTCCTCCATCCCTCTTTTCTATTAATTTATTTAGCAGTCCTAGAGAGAGCTGAGGGCCTTGAATTTTACACTGAGTTACATCTCCAGTCTAGCCAGTTATTTATTTTAAGGAATGGGAAAAACATGGGTTGGAGAGATGGCTCAGCAGTTAAAAGCACTGGCTGCTCTTGCAGAGGACCTGGGTTTGATTCCCAGTGCCATATGTGGCTAACAACCTTCTATAATTCCAGTTCCAAGAAATCTAAACCTCCTTCTGGCCTCTGTGGGCACTGCACACATGTGGTATACTTACATACATGTAGGCAAAACACTTGTACACATAACATTTAAAAAATAGAGTAACAGGTTGGTAGAGTGTTTGCCTAACATACACAAAGCCCTGAGTTCAATCTTCAGCAACACATAGACTGGGTATAGTGACAGAGCCTGTGACCACAGCACTCTGGGTGAAGGCAGAAGGATCAGAAATTCAAGGCCAGTCTCAGTTGAAGCTCAAGGTCAGCCTTGGTTACATAAGACTGTCTCAAAATAACAACAACAACAACAAAAAAACATGATAGTGAGGAGTAGCGAGTTAGCTTAGCTGGTAAAAGGTGTTTGCCACCAAGCTTGATGACCTGAGTTCAGTCCTTGGAATCCACTGCGAAGGTGGAAGCAAGCTCCAGAAAATTGACCTCTGACTTCCACCCCCTCTTCAAAGAATTAAATGTAAAAAGCAAAACGAAACAAAAACACAAAAATGATACCCATACAACATTTAAAAATAATTCTTGTGCCAATGAGATGGCTCATCAGGAAAAAGTACTTTCCAGGAAAACCTGACCACCTGAGTTCAAGTCCTGGAACCCATATAAAGGTGGAAGGGGAGAACTGACTCCAAAAAGCTGCACAAGAGCAAGCCTACACTGGAACAATAATTAAATCTTATTTTTAAAAAACCCATCTCATGTAGGTTCAAAGTGAAAACATCTGTATATGAAATAATATTAGTTTGGGCCTGGGGTGGTGGTGCAAGCCTGCACTCCTAGCACTCGAGGTCGAAGCCAGCCTGGGCTAAAAGAGACTGTCATAGACAGATAGACTCCACCTGTCCCTCTCCCCCTCCCCCTCCCCCTCCCTCTTTCTCTCTCTCTCACACACCTGGTCCAGCAACCTTTGCCTTCTCCATCTGGTCTGTAGTAGTCACCTACAAACAACCCCCTATTCTTCCTGAGGCCTTTCCCGCCCTCTGCTCTTGGGAACCAATCAGCGAGCTTGGCTTCAGACCAATCAGCGACCTTGGCTCCAAGCCCCGCCCATTCCCCCCAATCACCACACAAGCCGTGGCCGCCATGTTTTCGTGGGCAGCTCGGTTGGCTCTTCCGTAACCGCCATGTTTCAGGGGCAGCGCGGTTGGTTCTGCCGCAGCGTGGGTCGGGATCTGACGCAGTTCTGGGGTAGGAAGAGGGGCAGGGCGTGAGGTGGGAGGGGGCGGGCAGAGCCGGCCGAGTCACCACGTGCTCTTTTCTCCACAGTGGACGAAGGCGGGATGGTCAGTGACGCGCAGGCCGCTGACTTCCTGTTCAGCTGCGATGCTTCGCACCCTGACACGCAGAGGTACAGAGGGCCTCCCGGCAGAGGCTTTCTGTCATGCGCCCAGAGAATGGAAGGAGCAGCCCACCCATAAGTGATGCTGGGGGGAAGGATCTAGCCCTAGATGGGGGAAATCATTTCCTCTACCTGGCCCTCGGGGCACTTAGCCCAGTCCGGATTTGTATGTTCATGGGTCACGTACGTGTAGGCCCCCTCCTACTCACTATGTCTAAACCAAACCTGAACACATTGATACCTGAGCACGTCGTTGTGTGGCCTCCAGAGACCTTCCCACCACCTTAAAAAAAGAAAAAAAAGTTTATTATTTTCTCTGAGATAGGGTCTCTTCTCCCAGGCTGGCGTTGAACCCGTGCTCTTCCTGTTTCAGCATGCCAAGCGCTGGAATTTCAGGCATGAGCAGGCTGGGCTTCCTAGCATATTTTAAACAAGCTCTATTCCCATGAATGGGTAGGTGACCAGATGTTTGAAATTGTTCTTTATCCTCGTTTTCTAGAGCTTAAATTACCACTTGCCAAGACTGTCACAGTAACTTCCTAATTACCCTGCCTCCATCGGCCCTTTGCCACTTCTCATCACATAGCTGTCAGATGTTTACTAAGCAGAAATCTGCCCCTGGCCTATGACCCTTCTTTCCTCCCCTTCCTCCTTACCTACAGATTTAGACCAGCTAAAAACTACCTTTTAAATTTTCCATGCCTTCCAAAGTCTATAATCAACCTGAATTGTTGTTATTGTGCCTTCAATGTAAATCTTTTTTCCCTAATGTCTTTTCCACTTCTTTCCATCTTTTTACAGGCCTAGAAAAACTTTTATATATGTGAATGCTTCTCTGCATGCCCACTCTACCTCAATTAATTGATCCTTCTTTATGGCAGTGACTATGGGTAAAACTCATTGGGCTGCTGGCTTTCAATCCATTTTTGGTCTCCAGCTAACTACTGCCCTAGGTCAGGTTTCTAAATTTATATAATCATTTATCAACTCTCTAAAGCTGAAATTTGCCTATACTTAGGTCCCCAAACTAAGTAATATCCTATGCCTTAAGTTTATTCTTCCTTGCCAGGAAAAAAGGACCATCATAAGTATATTTTTTAATGTGACAGTCACCTTTCATTTTTTTCCTTTTGAATGATTGAATACATTCTTGTTTATCTTATAACCTGAAAGATTATCTTTCTTCTAGAATATACCAGAGCCTCGATTACCTGGAAGATAATGCTACAGTTTTTCATGCCTACTATCTCTCTGCAGTAGCTAATGCTGAAATAAAAAACTCAGTGGCCTTAGGTCATTTCGTTCTTCCTCCTGCCTGTCTGCAAAAAGGTTAGCAAAGATCATTAAACCCACTTGTTTGCCAAATCCAGCAAATCCCTGTTAAGACAACCAAATCTGATTTTACCAATCTTTGTTCTTAATCAGAAATTTTGTGGTTTGTGGGTTTTAAAAGTGTATGTATTTATTTTTTGGACAGTGTCTTCACTTGGTAGCCCAGGCTAGCCTCAAATTTCAGTAAATCTTCTGCCTCAGTCTCCTGAGTGCTGAGATTATAGATGTGAACCACCACACCTGGCAGAAATTTTTGAGTTTTTGTATCATTTACTATAGATGGGAAAGACGTGGACTTGGGATCAGATACTTTGAGTGAATGAATAACCTGGATTTTTCTTCATTTATGCATTCGTTAAGCTTTTTTTGCATGTGAAGTTACAACCCAGGTGGTGGAATTCAGTGGTGAATAAGACAGACGCAGATGTTGACTTCAACTTGCTGACAAGCTAGGAACCAACACTAATTTTATGATTTTTATTTTTATTTGTTTATTTTTTTGTGAGGCAGGGTCTCACTGTGTAGCTTTGGTGGGCTGAAACGCACAGTGATCCACTTGCCTCTCCCTCTGGAGTAGTGGAATTAAAGATGTATGCCACCATACCCTGCAGCTCTGTGATCTTTAACAAGCCATTAAACTTCTTCCAAGTAGTTTTTTTTAAGATTTATTTTTAATTATGTATATGTATGTGTCTGTATGTGAGTATATGCACATGGGTACAGGTGATCTTGGAGGTGAGAAAAGGGTACTTGATCCCCTGGAGCTGTAGTTACAAGCTGTTGTGAGTTACCTGACATAGGTGCTGGGAAACTTTGGTCCTGTACGAGCAGTATGTGCTCTTAACCACTGAGCAATCTCTTCAGCCCCCTTCCAAGTAGTTTTGAGAATAAAATGAGATAATATATTAAGGTATATGATTGCTGGTGAATATTTAATAAATATGTTCTTTGCTAGTTTTGAACCTCTTCATTCTAATTTTTCTTTTAAATATTGGCCATGATAATAAACCCATGTATTTATTTATTTATTTTTTTGCTTTTGGAAGTACTTTCACATTATTTCATCAACCCTATGAAGTAGGAAGGGAAAGTAAGTAAACTGCTTCTGGGATTGATTCAGTTTTTCCTTCTTGGAACATGTTCTTATCATGTTTGTCTGTCCAAATCTTTAACCTTGGTTATCTACCTACCTAAGTATCTCATTTTCGTAGGTCTTACTTTATTATCCAATTCTTTTTTCTTTTAGTGATTTATTTATTTTTATTTATACAGGTGTTTTGATTGCCAGTATGTTTACTGGTATGTATAGTGCCCACAAAGGCTGGAAGAGGAAGACAGAGCCACCATGTGGGTGTTGGGTGTTGCACCTGGGTCCTCTTGAAGAACAGCGCGTTCTTTTAACCCATGAGCTGTCTCTCCAGCCCCTATTACCGAATTCTTTTTTAAAATGTATTTTAATCCAATAGATATAAGTCCATCTGTAGAAAGACAAACTAGAACTGTATACAAATTGCCAGGGAGGAGAATAAAAACAAAAGTAAAATAAACCAAAAAACCTAAAAGATATTTTCATAGATGATCCCTTAGAAAACTTGGATTGGTTTCTTGTAACTGATGTTCTAGCAAAACCTAGTTAAAATGCTAAATTGTCCTGAAGTGGTTATGCAATGAATTAATAGCTTGATGGAAAAATTGATTTGTTAAAAAAATTTTTCTTCCACTTTCTCCATCTTCTTCCCTTCCTTGCTCTCTCCTCCTCTCCCTCTCTTTTTATTTCTTGAGACAAGGCCTTGCTATATAGGCTCTGTCTGGTCTGGTACTCACCTGATAGTCCAGCCTAAACTTGAACTCATGGCAGTCCTCTTGCCTCAGCCTCCTGGGTGGTAGGATTACAAAGTATGGACCATCATATCTAGTGACCTTGTTTTGAGACAGGGTTTTGCTATTATAGCCAAATTGTGTGCCAAGTATCTACCTTCAAGGAGTGTATATTGTAAAATGACCATTTGATCTAATGACCTTGCTTCAAATTATCATTCCTATTTTGTCATTGAGTTTAGAATCCTCTCAACATTTTGTTGTATAACTTTCTGCTATATACATTCTATAATATATAATGCGTATTTTTCAGTAGGACTTTGAACTAATACATTTCCTTCTGGCTTTTCATATCATCTAAGCATTATTTATCTCTCCTCTCACTCTCTCTGTATAACCCTCTCAACTCCCTCCCTAGTTAGAGTACCCCCTTTTTTCCCCATTTCTCCCATGATAACACGTGTCTCCTTTTGCTTCACCACCATGGTTCCTTTCCATTTTCCTGGCTTCTGCAGTTATATCAGGATACATACTCACATACAAAGATTTGGAGCTAAGATCCACAAATGAGAGAGAACATATATCACTTGTGCTTTTGAGGCTGTGTTACTTCACTTAGTGTAACAGTTTCTAGTTCCATCCCATTTACTTGCAAATTTCATTTTTAAAAATTATGTGTATGAATGTATTGTCTGCATGTATGTAAGTGTACCCATGTTGCTCAATGCCTACAGAGGTCAGAAGAGGGCATTGGATCCTCTGGAACTGGAGTTGTAGACAAGTGTTAGCTGCCATGTGGGTGCTGGGATTTGAACCTGTGTCCTCTACAAGAGCAGCCAGTGCTCTTAACTGCTGAGCCACCTTTTAAGTCCTGATTTCATTTTTCTTTACTGCTGAGTAAAACCCCATTGTGTAAACGTAGCACATTTTCATTATCCATTCACCAGTTGAGGGGTGTTTAGGTTGTTGCCATTTCTTAGCTATTGTGAAAACAGCAGCAACAAATTTGACTGTATATAATAGGATGAGTTCTTTGGGTATATGCCAAGGAGTGATATAACTTGATATGATTTATCTAATAGAGTACATGAAATTTGGCAAAGGACAGTAAGGGGAGGTGCGGATAGGGGAGGAGATTGAAAGACCATCAAATTATGTTGTATGACAATTGCAAAAATTCAATAAAAAAGTTGCAGCGAAAAAGGTTTTGGTAACCATATTAAAAATATGAAATCTGTGAAACTAGTTTTAAGAATACATTTTATTTGACCTAATATATCAAGATTATCACCATATATAATCAATATACAAATTATTGAAATATTTTGCCTTTTTGATATCAGTCAAAATTCAGGGTTTATTTTACACTTGTCCTACATCTCAGTTTGCAGTTTTCATACATTTCAGGTGCTCGGTTCCTACATTTAGCCATTGCTACCATATTGGATAGCGAAAGTCCAGTGTAATGATACCCTTTTTGTCCTCCAGTGAGCTCTCATGGGGAATTTTGAGATTATTGAGTTAAGATGATGGCAGAAATATTTGTCATTCTGAGTATTATAGAGTTCCTGTCTACTAGGCATATTGTTTATCTACTTTTAGTAAAATGAATTCTTGAGAACCTTGGCCCTACAAACTGAAGAGTTTTGGTTGATTTTATTGTGCCAATGGTCTTGTTTATTAATAATTGACATAATAAAGACACTGATATCTAATGAAGTAATATATTCTAGTAGAAAAAGTAAGGGCAGGAAAATGGCTCAGTGGATAACAGAGCTTGCTCAAGATGAGGGCCTGAGTTCAGATTCCTGACATCCACATCAAAAGCTGGGCATGGTTGCAGATGTCTGTAACCCCAGTGTTTGGGGAATGGAGATAGGTGGATCTCAGGAGCTTGCTGGCCTGCGAGCTTAGCTGAACCAGTGAGCTTACATTTCAGTGAGAGACCCTATTTCAAGACAATAAGGTAGAGAGTGATAGAGGAAGACACTGGATGTCCTTTGGCCTCTGCATGCTTATCCATGGGTGCACACACCCACACATTCATGTGCATGTACTACACACGCACACACTCCCCCAAAAGAAGAAAGAAGCAAAAAGAAAAACCCTACAGCAATGATTATTCTAATGGCCCAGAATTATCTGGAGAGTTGATTGGAAATGTAAATTCCAGGGCTTCTACTCAATCATCTGATTCAGTAGGATTCGGGTTTCTTGTTTTTTGGTTTGTTTTTTTGAGATAGGGTCTTGATATACATGCTGGTTGGCCTGGAACTTACTATGTAGACCAGACTGGCCTTGAACTCACAGAGAGCTGCCTGACTCTGCCTCCGTGCTGGGATTAAAGGCATGTACCATCATGCCTGGGGTGGGGGTAAGGGAATCTGGGCTTTTAGCAAGTATTTTAAGAGGTGATTTTGATAAAAGTAGAATAACTATGGCCAGAAACTTCAGACTTTGTACAAAAGGTTGAAATTACTTTAAAAATGTTGGGTTTGTTTTTCTCACTACAGAAATACGAAGAAAAATTGGTAGTTTTATTTGGGAACAAGATGAAAATTTTCTGATAGAAAAGGTAAGAGTAAATTAATATACTTGATTAGGATGTGCAATTTCAAAAATGTCTGAAGGCAATGTAATTTGTGACATGTTAGCACTAATTAGATTGAGGAATGTAAAGGGCTTTTCTTGAATATTATCTGGGTTGACTCTTTATAGTAGTATATTAGCAAAATTGAGGTGTTTTGTATAAATGAAGCTATTATATAAGAAACTTGCAGACTGGTAGCCGAGTTAGTGATGTGGCTCAGTTGGTAGAGTGTTTTCCTAGCATGCAAAGAATTCTGGATTCAGTCCTCAGCACCACGTAACAACTAAACATGATAGCACATACCTGTAATCCCAGTGCTTGGGAGAGAGGGAGAGAGAGACAGGGGAATCAGAAGTTTAAGAGCCTGTCTCAAAAGGGGAAAGAAAAGAAATTTGAGGGCTGGAATAGAGCACAGTGGTGGAATGCTTGCCTGGCATATGCAAGGTTCTAGGTTCAATCCCGAGTACTGGTAATGTAAAAAAATAAGAAACTTGAGTTTCTCTAATCAGTACTATAGAGAATAACAATAACTGCATGGTATTTTCTGTAGATTCTGATTAATTCTTGTGCTATATCATTTGTTAAATCTTTCAAGGGACCCTTCTCCATAAATGTATACAATACTGCTTTTTAGTTTGCCATTCTACTAAAAGTTACCTATGCTTCTGATTTCAAAATCTTTATGCAATTAGCAAATGTGGATAATTGCAGTATCAAAAAGAATGAAAGTAATAGATTGATACATTATATAAAAAAGAATCCATTAGTTCATAGTGATACTTCAAAAGAAGAAAGAAGAAAAGACAGATGAAGAAAAGAAAGATGGGTGAAAAGAAAGATGGAAAGGGTGGTATAAGTAAAATTTTCAATTATAGAATAATAGCTAATAAAGATAGAAAAGATGTTAAAATAGAAAATGTACATTTTAGGACTAGCAAGATGGCTCAGAGGGTGAAAGTACTTGCCACATAAGACTGATGACCTGAGTTTAATTCCTGGATCCTAGGGTGAAAGGAACGAACCAACTTCCACAAGTCCTCCTCTGGCTGTGGCACAGCCACATATACCATATACTCATGCACACACTATTAAATAAAATTAAATTTTAAATTCAAATAAAACTCCCATTCTATAAACCCCCAAATAATAATTGATTTAGACAAGAGCCATTAGTAGATGCTGTTCTAGTCTACCTTGGATTGCTGTGAGAAAATACTCTGATCAATACCAACTTGGGGAGGAAAGGTTTTTTTTTTTTTAATCTTACATCTCCTGGATCACAGTTCATCAGGGAGCCCAAGACAGCAACTTAGGTAGGAACCTGGAAGCAGGAGCTGGAGCACAGGCCATGGAGAAATGCTGCTTACTGGCTTGCTCCTTTGGCCTTTGCTCAGCTTGCTTTCTTATACAACATAGGCCCACCTGTCCAGGGGTAGAACCACCCACAGTGGGCTGGGCCCTCCCACATCACTCAGTAATCAAAAAGATGCCCCACAGACATGGCCACAGGCCAGTCTATTGTAGGCAATTCACTAATTGACGCTCTGTCTACCCCGGTGTGTCAAGTTGACAACTGAAGCTATCCAGCACAGATGATAAAACTTATGATCTCAAATTATTACCCACAGAATACTTAATAATTACAAAGGCGAGCAACATCTGTGTAAATGGACAAATCTGAAAGATACTACTTTAACCACCTGATCAATTAGTATTGCCAATACTGAAGTAACCTCTTACTGTGCTTAGTCTGGTATGATATAATAAGGACATAATATTATCTATGCTGGATTCTTGTTCAAATGCTTAACCTGAATCTAATTATGAGTCAATCAGATAAATCCAAGAATGACTATGCTACAATTCAGCTAACTGGCCTGAACTAGAGTGACTGTTATAAAAAACAAGTCAAGGGAATTGTTCTAAATTGAGATATAACAACCAGATGTGCTGTATAAACTTTGATCAGATTCTCTATTTTTTTTTAACAACAGAAGTGTCATTTTGAGGGTAACTGGGAAAGTTGTTTGATGGACTATTAGGGTAATAATGAATTGTCAAAATTTATTAAATATGATAATGATATTAAGAAAATGATGATTTTGAGAAAATTCATGGCTATATCTTGAGTGGAAATATGCTATATGCCAATGTTTTCAAATGATCTAAAAAACTGAAAATCAGTGCACTCAAAGTGGCAAAAATGCAAATCTAAATTCAAGATGAATAGTATTTTTGTACTATTTAAAACAACTTCTGTATGTTAAATTTTTCAGACTAAAATGACAGAAAAATCTTCGTATTTCCCATAACTAAGAAATTAATGTACATATATCTTATTCCTTTCATTATTTAAAATATTTTTGCTTTATTTATTTATTTTTCTTTCTTTCTTTCTTTCTTTCTTTCTTTCTTTCCTCCCTTCCTCCCTCCCTCCTTTCCTTTCCTTTCCTTTCCTTTCCCCTTTCCTTTCCTTTCCCCTTTCCTTTCCTTTCCCCTTTCCTTTCCTTTCCCCTTTTTTCCCCTTTCCTTTCCTTTCCCCTTTCCTTTCCTTTCCCCTTTCCTTTCCTTTCCCCTTTCCTTTCCTTTCCTTTCCTTTCCCCTTTCCTTTCCTTTCCCCTTTCCTTTCCTTTCCCCTTTCCTTTCCTTTCCCCTTTCCTTTCCTTTCCTTTCC